GGGGGTGTCCCATATGACTGTGTGGTTCAAGTCTAGGACCTGGTGACTTGAAAAACACTCTGAATATATGTGCATTCCCTAAATTCTGAGAGGAGATTGAAGACGGGATTTTTGGTGTGGCCATCCCTCCACCACCACCACCACCCCGCCCCCATGGGTGCCTTCTCAGTTTCCTTCTCTGTTTCCGGTGAGTACACACCACCCTATAACTAACTAACTAAAGGTGCCACCTCACAGGCTGGCTCTATAGCCTAATGGTTAAGGGAGCCAGATTCCACATGACTGACTATGGTTTGAATCCTGACCCTGGTGATGCGCATATGTGCGACAAATTCTGATAAGATGCAGAAATGGAGGAGAAGGGATTGCGATATGACTATACTTCCACTGGGATCCCACTCCCCACACAATCTGGCTAGTGTACATGCCCTCTCTTAAAAAAATAGTTTAAGGAGACCAGCAGGTGGCATGGTGGTTAAGGCACTGTATACTCCCATATGGCCACCCACGGGTTCAAGGCATTGGACACTCCCATATGGCCAGCCACCTGGTGGCTTGTAGCTTGCTTTCTCACTTTCTCTCTCTCTCGTCAAATTAAAATAAATGAATGAATAAATAAAATAATAATTCTTAAAAATAAATAGTTAAAAGAAAAGTTCCCAGGGCTGGTAGATGGCATGGTGATTAAGGTGTTGGACTCTCACATGGCTGACCACAGTTTGAGTTCCAGACCTGGCAGCTTGCTTTCTCACTTTCTCTCTCTCTCGTCAAATTAAAATAAATGAATGAATAAATAAAATAATAATTCTTAAAAATAAATAGTTAAAAGAAAAGTTCCCAGGGCTGGTAGATGGCATGGTGATTAAGGTGTTGGACTCCCACATGATTGACCACAGTTCAAGTCCTGGACCCAGCAACTTGAAAAATCCTGAAAGGAGAATAGAAGAGAAGGGAGTGTGGCCTGGCCATCACTCTTGGGGGGAGGGGGGGTACTTGCTCTCTGTCTCTCTGTTTCTGTTTCTCCAGTGAGTGCACACACCCTATAGCAAAAATATGTGGAAAAAAATAAAATTTTTTTTAAAAGAGAAAAGATCCCACTTCTGAACATTGTTGCATTGGGGTTTATTTTCCCAATACATGAACTTTTGGAGGACACATTCAAATCATAGCAAACCATGATAGAAAGCCATTGGTGATTTAGGCTTTAGATTGGAAACGGGAGCCCAAGAACACACTTTTCTTCCTCCTTAGGCTCCTGTGAAATGGATGACTGAATGACTAATACGCATGGCACCAAACTGGAGCCATAGAGGTGTGTGTGTTGGGGCTAGGGGAGGCCCTCGCGTTCATGTGGATGGTTGAAATAGGCAGCAAAGTTTGCAACCAAGAGCAGATGTGGTGGTAGGGAGGGAGAGCCGGTTATCAGAAATGTTAGCTACAAGTTTTTTTTTCCTTTTTAACTAGGCCAGTCAGTGATCAGGAATGTTAGCTACAAGGCTGCCTGTGCCCCACTTCATTTCCCCACATTCTCTATGCGTGGGCACCTTCATATTCACAGTGGACTAAACTCCAACATTTCACAATGGATTGGACCATCTGAAGAAAGCTAAGCCTTCTCAGGAGATGTCGGTGGGGAAAGGGTGTTAAATTAAAACATACTAAAACTCATCTAGTTTCCCATCCAAAGGAGGTGGCTCCAGGATCTCCTCATAGGAGGCACAAAGGTATAGCAAGGAAGGTGAAAGGGCTTCCTAGTACTGCGCTAGACTGTGATAACTTGATTTCTGTTATCACTAGCTTTGTATGTCTATTTGGGATGGACTTGGAGTGGTGATGAAGACTGTAGGGCAACTGATGTCTTACTGCTCCAACCTAAGTGCCACCTCTGCCACTTTTATACATAAAAAAAAAGCCCTTGGGGCCAGCAGGTGGCGTGGTGGTTCAGGTACAGGACTCTCACATGGCCAATGGTGGTTTGAGTCCCAGACCTGGTGACTTGCTATCTTATGTCCCCGTCCCCAAACCTCGAGTCTCTCTGGTGAGTGCACATGCCCTATAGCAAACTTAAAATAATAATAAGAGGACCAGCAGTTGGTGTAAAGGCTATGTCACTGGACTCCCATGTTGTCGACTGCAGTTCGAGTACCGGACCCGGTGACTTAAACTCATGCCAGGCACGTGCGGCGTGCCCAAGATTCTGAGAGGAGAATGGAGAAGGGGTTGCTGTGTGGCCATCCCCCACTGGGTGTAGTTTCTTGCTTTCTGTCTGTGTGTCTTTTCTGTCTTCCTGGCGAGTGCACGTGCCCTGTAGCAAAAACCTCTCCAATAAATAAATAAATAAAACTAAATAAAAATTTAAAAAATATTTCTTGTGTTAGTAAGAAAAAACAAAAATTAATGAGTAAAGAGAACATGGGTGACTGTGATTCCCTTAAAGGAAGTTAGAGTTTCTCCAAAGATTTTCACTCTAAATTATGTGATATGTGGCAGCAGGCAATATGGCATTTTACTTCATGTCCCATTTGGAGTTTTTTTTTTTTTTTTTGAAACACGTTCTTTAGGTTATTTTTGCTATAGGGTGTGTGCATGCTTTCTGGAGGGAGGGAGGGAGAGAGGGGAAATGCGACAGCATCTCCAGTGGGGAGGGGAAGTTGGCCATGCCTTCCCATGGCAATCCCTTTTCTGTTATCCTTTTGGGATTTTGGGTATACATACACTCACACCCAGGTGGCCACTGGTCCAGGACTCGAATCACACAGCCACATGGGATCCATCTGCCTTAACCACCATGACACTGGCTGACCCAACACATTCTGTTTTTGAAAATTTATTCTTTTCTTTTAGGAGTGAGAGCACATCACTCCAAACAGGGTCCCAACACCATGATCCATCCCTAGCTTCAGCCATCCCCAGCTCATGGGCACACATGTGCCCAGGATGGTTGAGGAGGTCTGTGGACACCAATCGACAACCTTTTCATGTGAATCAGCCTTACAGAGCTTATGCTTTACCACTGCTCCACACTCAGTCTCTAAACTCTTGTGTTGACTGAGCTATACCACACTAAGCATAAGATCAACTTGCAGTCATCATGGGACCCCTAGCCTACATTTCTTTCCCCAGAGAAGAGCTGTGTCAATAAAGAGGCCCTTATTAGCAGAGTCTGGGATTTTATTTATTTATTTATTCTTTGCCATAGGGCTTGTGCACTTGCAGGAAAGGTAGAAAGAGAGGGAAAGTGAGAAATCACCTCAGACACCCTTCTCCTCCTGGTGGGATTTTGGGCATACACATTTAGCCTGTTGGTCTCTGGGTCCCAGACTCAAAATGTGGAGCTGGCCATGGGGGATCCACTACCTTAACCACCAATTCCAGGTCCAGCAGGTGGTGTGGTAGTTAAGGCGCTGGACATTCCCACATGGCCTACCACAGTTCAAATCCTGGACTTGGTGGCTTGCTTTCTCACTTTCGTGCTCTCTCTGTGTTTCTTTCTGGTCATATTAAAATGAATGAATGAATAAATAAAATTAAATAAATAATTCTTTAAAAAAAATGCTACTTGATGGCCCGCAGAGTCTGGAATTTTGAACACCAATAACAGAAAGTTATTTTTTAGAGTTTCTCCTCCCATTTTAATTAAGACATATTTTACATACACAAAAGTGAACAGATCTTAAGTATTCACTTTTACAAATTTTTACTTAGACAAAAAGCCCATCCAGATCAATATCATATTGATAGTAACATTTCCAGTCCCCCAGGAGTAGCGTTGCCAGGAAACTCCCTCAAGCTCCTTGTCTCACTCCTATAAATCCTACATTCACTTAAAAACATCTTAACAGCTTAGCAGTAAAGATAAGTAGCATTTCTTCTTTTTCCTTTCCATCATATTTTTTTCCTAATAAACTCATTTGGGGATAATTTTAGATGTATAAAGAAGTTACAAAGATTGTGCACCCTTGGGAACCAGCAATTAGCGTAATGGCTATGTCGCTGGACTCCCACGTAGTCGACCGCGGTTCACATCCCGGACCCAGTGGCTTAAAACTCACGCCGGGCGCGTGTGTTCGTGCCCAAGATCCCGAGAGGAGAATGGAGGAGAAGGGATTGCGGTGTGACCATCCCCCCTGGGGGGTGACTTCTCTCTCTCTCTCTCTCTCTCGCGAGCGCATGCGCCCTATAGCGAAAACCTCTCCAAAAAAAAAAAAAAAAAGATTGTGTACCCTTCACACAATTTCTCGTTAACATCCTAAACGGTCATGATATATTTGTCAAAACTAAACATTATTAATGCTTTCAACTAAACTCAAAATGTTATTTGGAATGTAGCATCATTTCACTAACGTCCTTTATTCTTTTACAGGATCCCATCCAGGACACCATATTCCACATGACAGTTCTTGTCAAGTAGTTTTTGTTGGCCTTGACAGTTTAGACTACTGGCAAATTATTCTGTGGGATATCCCTCCATTGGGGTTTGTCAATGTTTCTCCTGGTTAGGTGGGGATTACGACTTTCTGGAACACCATCACAAAGCACCATCCTATCAAGGGCAGTCGCTCTCCATAAGTCTCTTCACTGCTGGTGACAACATGCCCACCTGGCTGAGGTGTCGATAGGGTGTCTCCTCTGCAGTCTCTCTCTCCTTCCCCCAGGCAAGGCCCGCCCAGGGTGGGTGGGACCTCATTACCTACAAGCCTTCACCCTCACTTATCCATCTGTCCCAGTGCAGACCAGTCCGCATTTCACCCTGTTAGAATTCAGTCGTCTGGCTGTGGCACAGTGGGCTCTCCCGGCGGGGGCAGCCCTCCCTTACACTCTTCCACTCGCTTTTCTTCCCCAGCTGTCCTTCCTCCTCGTTGAAAATTAAGCCTGTGTTTATAAAGACGTGAGAACCAAGGCACCTCGGCAAGCCCGCACCTGCGCCCCATTCTCGTTTTCAGAGGCGGGGTCCCGCCAAGCTCCCGGCGTGCTCTGCGCGCCACGGCGGTGACGTCAGGGCGCGGCCCCGGCGCTGGACGTGCAGCAGTCGGAGCCCAGGAGGCCAGCGGCGTCCTTGCTCTCCCGCGGTGCTGCGCGCTGCGGTTCCAAGTTTTCAGGTGAGGG